CTGACTGTTGTAAATAATGCTGCAATAAATGTGGAAATACAGATTATCTCTTTGATATCTTGTTTTCATTTCCTTTGGATATATGCCTAGAAGTGGAAATCCTGGATCATATGGTAGTTTTATTTTTAGTTTTTTGAGGAACCTCCATACTGTTTTCTATAGTGGCTGCAGTAATTTACATTCCTATCAACACTGCACAAGGATTCCCTTTTCTCCATATCCTTGTCAATACTTGTTTTCTCTTGTCTTTTTGATGACAGCCACACTAACTGTAAGGTTGATATCTCCTTGTGGTTTTGATTTGCATTTCCCTGATGATTAGTGATGTTAAGCATCTTTTCATGTACCTGTTGGCCCTATATATATCTTCTTTGGAAAAAAGCCTATTTAGGGGTGCCTGGGTGACTCAGTCGGTTAAGCACCCGACTCTTGGTTTTACCTCAGGTCATGATCTCAGGGTCGTGAGATTGAGCCCCACCTCAGGCTCCACGCTCAGCATGGAGTCTGTTTGAGATTCGCTCTCTCCTTCCCCGTCTGCTTCTCCCCACTGGTGCTCTCTCTCTAAAATAAATAAATAAATAAAATAAAAGACTGTCCTTTCCCCACTGTATATTCTTGGCTCCTTTCTTAAAAATTAATGGGCCATGTATGCATGAGTTTATTTCTGGGCTCTCAATTCTGTTGCATTGGTCTATGTGTCTGTTTTTATTCCAATACCATACTGTTTTAATCACTACAGCTTTGTAATGTAGTCTGAAATCAGAAAATGTGATGCCTCCAGCTTTATTCTTCTTTCTCAAGATGGCTATGGCTATTTGGAATCTTTTGTGATTCCATACAAATTTTAGGATTGTTTTTGTTTTTTCTCTTTTGTGAAAAATGCCATCGGAATTTTGACAGGGGTTGCATTGAATCTGTAGATTGCTCTGGTTGGTGTGGACATTTTAACAATATTAATTTTTCCAATTCCTGAATATGGGATATCTTTCCATTTATTTGTGTCTTCTTCTACCTCTTTCATCAATGTCTTTTGGTTTTCAGTGTAGAGATCTTTCACCTCTTTGGTTAAATTTATTCCTAAATATTTTACTCTTTTTGATGCTATTGGAACTGTTTTCTTACTTTATCTTTCTGATAGTTCATTATTAGTATATAGAAATGCAACTGATTTATATATATTGATGTTTTATGCTGCAAATTCACTGAATTCATCTATTGTTTCTAACAGTTTTTTTTTAAGAGTCTTTAGAGTTTTCTATGTATAATACCATGTCATCTGCAAATAGAGACAATTTTATTTCTTCCTTTCTGACATGGATGCCTTTTATTTATGCCCAGTTGCTCTGTCTAGGACTTCTGATACAATGTTGAATAAAAATGATGAGGGTAGGCATCCTTGTCTTGTTCCTGAGCTTAGAGGAAAAGCTTTCAGCTTTTCACTACTGAGTATGATGTTAGTTGTGGGCTTGTCATTTATAGCCTTTATAATGTTGAGATACATTACCTCTATACCCAGTTTGTTAAGTTTTTAGCATTAATGGATACTGAATTTTGTCAAATGTTTTTTCTGCATCTATTGAGATGATATGAGTTTTATACTTCTTTTTGTTACTGAGGTGTATCACATTGATTAATTTGAAGATGTTGAACCATCCTTGCATCCCTGGAATAAATCTCACTTGATCATGGTGTATGATCCTTCTAATGTAGTGCTGAAATCAGGTTGCTAGTATTTGGGGGGGGATGCATCTGTGTTCATCAGGGATATTGGCCTGTAATTTTGTTTTCTTGTAGTGCCCTTGTCTGGTTTTGGTATCAGGGCAATGCTGGCCTCATAAAATGAGTTTGGAAGTGTTCCATCCTCATCTATTTTCTGGAAGAGTTTGAGAAAGATTGGTATTAATTCGTCTTTAAATGTTTGGTAGAATTCACCAGTGAAGGCATCTAGTCTTAGACTTTTCTTTTTTGGGGGGTGGAGGGGTGAAGAGTGTTGAAAATATATGTCCACAATAAAAACTTGTACATGGATGTTCACAGCAGCATTATACTTAAGAGCCAAAAAGTGGAAACAACCCAAATGTCCAACAACTGATGAATGGGTAAATAAAATATAGCATATTCATACAATGGAATGTTATCCAGTCATAAAAAGGAATGAAGTACTGACACATGCTACAACAAAGATAAGCCTTGAAGATATTATACTAAATGAAAGAAGTCCATCATAAACCACATACTGTATAATTCCATGTATATGAAATGTCTAGAACAGGCAAATCTATAGAGATAGGAAGTAGAATAGTGTTTTCCAGGGACTAGGAAGACGGAAGAATGATGGGGAGTGGCTGCTAATAGGTATGCAGTTTCTTTAGGGGGTGATGAAAATGTTCTTTTTTTTTTAAGATTTTATTTATTTATTTGATAGAGACACAGCGAGAGAGGGAACACAAGCAGGGGGAATGGGAGAGGGAGAAGCAGGCTTCCCGCAGAACAGGGAGCCCAATGCAGGACTCGATCCCAGGACCCTGTGATCATGACCTGTGCCGAAGGCAGACGCTTAACCGACTGAGCCACCCAGGCGCCCCGATGAAAATGTTCTAAAATTGAATTGTACACTCAAAGTGGATGAATTATATGGTATATGAATATCTCAACAAAGCTGTTATAGTAATAATAATAAGGGGAAACTAGGAAAAAAAGGGAAGAAGAGTTCAGTTCCCAGAAAGAAAAGTATGGAAAGGAAATGAAGAAAAAAAGCAGTGTGACTGAACTACAGTGAGCAAGGGAAGACTAGTATGAACTGAAGCTGAAGAAGTAGACAAAGGCCAGGCCCTGCAGGGGCTTGTAGGACTTTAGCCTGAGAGCAATAGGAAGCCATTAAAGCAATAAGGAGAGCTACTGTGGACACATTGTTTGATGAGTTGAAAATTGTTATACCTACCTAGCTTTCTTTCCACGCTTTGTGTCCCACAAAATAGTCCCTCAACTATCCAAAGAATGTAGGAAATGGTGCAGAACTGGCCTATGTTGCTCAAAGTGGGACCAATGAGCAAGAGGCTTATTTGAGCTCATTTAAAAGAAAGTTTCATAATAATCAGGACTTTCTAATAAGGTAAGGCAATTCCCTGACACCAGCAGTATACCTGCAAAGATGCAATACCTAATGGGATCTGTAGAATACTCTAGCACTAGGTGGCAGATCAGGCAAGATAATGTCTAAAACTGAAACCCATTCAATCACTAAGATTCTGTAAAGACCAACAGAACTCCATTTGCTTTTCTGAAACTCTCTGTAAACGAGCCCCTTTCTTACTCATTAACCAAAAAGGCTCTTGCCCAGCTGCTAGTGTTAACCATTAGGAAGACTCGTGGTCCTAGACAAAGAGTCCAAAATTTTCATTAACATAATTATCAATTGTCATGTTTTAAGCATATTTGTATACAATTAATGTAAATGTCAAAATGCCTAAATCCAGAAACCCCAGTATGGCTCCCTGCTAAACTCCCCACTTGAGGCCAAGGTGAAGAGCTGCTGTAATAGCTTCATGCCCAGCTGAGTACCCAACTGGTGAAGCAAATGCGGCAAACAGGGACCCAGACATATTGTCCCTCTCTATCCACCTCCCCAGCATCCAGGAGAGAGGAACCCTGACATGCAGAATATCAGAAACATTCTCCAGACCTCTTCATGAAACCAGGGAATAGTTAAAACAGGGGGAAAGCTTTGAAGGAAAACGTTTTCAGGCTGAAATAAGAGGAATGGGGTGTGTCTAATGACTCAGGAAGACTGGGCATGCCCCCCATCATCCCTTTCTCAGATAGGCATATACCCAGCTGATAAGGTCAAAGAAAAAATATACATTAAAAAGGAGCCACCCTGAAAGCAGCATGGCACTTCCTCCAAAAATTAAAAATAGAAATACCATATAATCCAACAACACTACTTCTCTATAAACACCCCAAAGAATTGAAAGCAGAGATGCCAACAGGTAGCTAGCTGTACACCCATGTTCATAGCAGCGTTATTCACAACAGCTAAAAGGTGGAAGCAACCCAAGTTTCCATCCACAGATGAATGGATAAAGGTGGTACAAGCATACAATGGAATATTATTCAGGCTTAGAAAGGGAGGAAATCCAGCCACATGCTGCAACATGGATGAAGCTTGAGGACTTAATGCTAAGTGAAATAAGCCAGTTACAAAAAGACAAGTCCTGGACAATTCCACTTAAATGGGGGTCCTAAAGTTTCAAAATCACACATAGAAAGTGAAGAGGTGCTTCCTCTGGCGTGAGAGGCGGCGGCAAGCGGGAGTTCCCCTTTAATGGGGATAGAGTTTCTATTTGGGACCATGAACAAGTTCCGGATCTGGATGGTGGTGAGGGTTGTACAACATAGTGAATGTACTTAATGGCATTGGACCGTACACTTAAAACTGGTTAAAATGGTAACTTCTGTTACGTATATTTTTACCTCAGTTAAAAACAAAAAGAGCAGCCATCCTGCAATACGAATAACTTAGAGCTTTTAGACTGAAGGTGAGAACCTTCACAAGTAGAGCTAATAAGCTGGTGAGGCGCCCCGAATTCATCAGATTTGGGGTTTACCTTATTTTTTCAGAGCTCCTGTGACCCTTGGGGTGTGAGAGGAGTAAGGCGGCCCTGCCTATGCGGCCGAGCGGGTTTCCGTAACCGACTCCACAACCGGCCACGCACAGGTCCTCAAAAGATACCAGCCTGACCCTCGGGTGGACGCTGTCTCAGGTCCCAGCAGCCGCCTTTAATGCCGGGGAGCTGCACGTTCTTCCAATCAAAGGGTCTCCGGGGAGGGCTCGAAGGGCAGAGCCAACCGGAAGGCGCCTATTTCCTTTTGTCCCGCCCTCCCCTGCTTCCTACTGGCGGGTTTCAAACCCACAGGAGCCAATGAGAGCGAGCGGACGCGTTGTGCCCCAGCCGTAGCTTCAGGCGCGGGCTTTGAAGAAAAACTGTCGCGGAGACGTCATGGTGCCACCGCGACCGTCCGCAGCCGCCGGTGAGTATGACCGTGAGTCCCTGCGTCTTGCAGGCGCTCCAGCAAGGGCGGGGAAGAAGGAAGGCCACCGAGTCAGTTCTTTTCGGGGGAGGTGCCCGTCCGCTCCAGTGCCTGCCTCAGTCTCCCCCTGGGCGTTTCCAGTCCAAGGAACGCTGCCCAGGCCCTGGCCCTGAGTGAGACGTCTGGCCCTGGGTAGGGGAAAGTAGATGCCGGGCAGATGCCTCACGGGTATCTTCCCCGTAATTCCTGCAGCAGCTCTGCAAAGAGATGTCATTGTCATCTCGTTTAGGTAGAGAACCTGAGACCCCTTGTCCGGGTCGCACACCCAGAAGGAAGCCAAGCGCTCCCTAACCCAGATTTGGCTCCAGGCAGAGACTGGGCGTGGTCCTCTGTGCTGCCGTCTGATCTTTGACAGGGGCCAAGAGGCGGGGTCTGACCCTAAGGGGGCAGGGCGGGGGCGCCGGAAGTTGATGGTTAAATCTGCACCGAGAACTGAGGGTCCTGGGTTCCCTGATCTCTTAAATGTACGTGGAGCCTTTAGCTGCTTTTCAAAATACAGCTCAGATGTCACCAGCTCCCAAATGCTCACAGTGTTTTGATAGTTTCAGTAATAATACCTGTTGACTGTCCGCCAGGTCCTGGGCACTGTCCTAGGTGCTTTACATAACAGCCCTTAAAGATGGGCATTTCTGTCTCCATTTTATAGGTTCAGCAGCAGCGAGGTTTGCTAACTTGATAGAAGCCACAGCGCTGGGATTCTAACCCGGTCTCTCAGCCCGTGCTCTCCACCGCATAGCCTGGCATAGCATAAAATGCATAATCCTCAAAGCTGTCTCCTAGGGATGCATCAGAGCCAGATATCAAAACACACAGCAACTCGGTTTAGATGAAATTAAGAGTAGTTCTGCACCCCTATTGTCTTTTTTTATTTTTGCCACTATTGAATTTTAGCCTTTTCCAACCACCTATTCCTCTCACTCATTCCCTGCTTCTGAACTCCCATAATTCTTTCTTTGACCCTTTCTTATGATACCTAGATTTTGCCTTATATTGTAATTATTGTTTGCTTATTTTATTTTCACTACTAGATTGAAACTTCCTAAAGACAGAAATACTGAATTTTCATTCCCTCACATGCCTTGCTTAGAAAGTCACCATGTAATAGATGTTTGCCATGAACCCCCTAACCTGGCCTATTTTGTCCTTAGGCCCAAAGGAAACCATGTAAGGGTTTGTGACAAAAATCATCATCCCTGTCAGGAAAAAAAAAACACAATAAGAACAGGCCAACTGGCACCTGGGTGGCTCAATCAGTTAGGCATCGGACTCTTGATTTCAGCTCAGGTCCTGATCTCAGGGTCGTGAGTTCAAACTTCATGTTGGGATCCACGCTGGGCATGGAGCCTACTTAAAAAAATAAAAATAAAATTAAAGAAAAGACCAGTACTGGTTCACTAGCTCAGATGAGCCAGTAAGAGATTTCTTCATGCAAAGCATAATACGTTGTAGCTGAGAACGGTGGCTGTAAGCAAGGACTCTGGAGTTGGATAAACCTGGTTTCAAATCCTAGCTTTGCTACATTTAGCTAGGTAACCTTGGTCATATCGTTTACCCTCTAGATTTCAAACAATAAAATACCTCATAGGATTGTTGTGTGGATTAAAGAAAGTAATTTAAGTATGAAGAGCTTAGTATAAGACGTGGCATACAAATGATATTGTTGATATAGACATTAACTTGGAGGCAAATTTGTGGGGTTAGGGACTTTATAGCATATGGACCAAAGCCAAAATTATTATAGAAAAGTGCCATCTTTTAGAATATAGACGCATTGGTTAAAATCTCCAGCTAAATTTCTGTTGTTTGTTTGCCTGCCTATTTTGCAGAAGAGCGGCAGAGAAAGCTCCAGGAGTACCTAGCAGCCAAGGGAAAACTGAAGTGCCAAAATACCAAGTGAGTTTGTCTCACACAATTATGCAAGTTTTGTTGCCCTTGTTGCTACTAGCAATTTAAAGCCTTTCAAAACATAGCCCTTTTGGGGCGCCTGGGTGGCTCAGTTGGTTAAGTGTTTGCCTTCGGCTCAGGTCATGATCCCAGGGTCCTGGGATGGAGCCCCATATCAGGCTCCCTACTCAATGGGGAGTCTGCTTCTCCCTCCCCTGCTCCCCCTGTTTGTACTCGTTAAAAAAAAAAAAAAAAAGACATAGCCCTTACTCAGACTGCATTGAGATCCTATGATAACTCAGAAAAGGGTGTATTGGTCCAGACATGACAAAAAAACTCCGAGCAGTTTAAGCACTATTTTTGTGACAGTCTCTAAAGGAAGGGGGAGAAGGGCCACAGTATTACCTACAATGCTGGGAACTTTTCTTATCCCTGCTTTTTTTCCTGGGAAAGGGATTCTTGTGAAGGCTAGAAAAGGCCAAGGAGTTGAATGACCCTGGTTGTTTTTCCTTGCTAAAGCAGGAGAGCCAGTTATAGTCAGTCCTTCATAGCTGCACACCAACATCCTCCAGCCTGACAGTCCTCTTTGGCCATTCTCTTAGCACTTACCCTTGAGTTGGACAGAATCTGACTGTTTCACTTTTATCTTTTGTCAACATCTTGCCATTGTAGTGTTATTAGTCCCTCTTACTTAACATTGATGTATTTTCTCCTGAAAGAAGAGGGAGTGAATTTTTACAAAGTTAGTGTTGACCCTTTATTTTTGTTTCCTTTTATTTTGGGGTTTTACTCAACTCTATTTCCTCGATTAAATAAATCTAATTCATTTACTCAACAAATACTCCAGGGTTTATGTTCAAGATGGGGAAAACTAACAGCAAGTCATGATCAAAGTCCCTATTAGTCTGGCAATTGTTTCTGATCCACGCAGATTGAATTCTTCTTAATTCTCCTCTACTTCCCTAACCTTTTTTGCATTTTCTGCTCATTGGCTAGATTTCATATGTGCTCCTGTTTTTTTAATTATATCTTTTTTTCACCCCTGAATATTCATTATCTGAAGATACTTAAAACAAGTTCATTTTTCAAAGAAGTTGTTAATTACCTTACTTGACATTGTATCTCTAGTACCTGGCATATTGCAGTGTTCAAGGAATGATGTTTGGATGAACTTTGCAAATATGAAGAAAACATATATTTCATTAATCTTGTTAGAATGCTGTATTTATGCATAGGACATCTCTGAAAGGATCACGAAAAAATGGGTAAGAGTGGTGTGGTCACTGAGGAGTAGAATAGCAGGACTAAGAAAGGGATAATAAGGAGACTTTATTGCATATAATTTTGAATTATTTTACTATATACAGAAATTCCAATGATTTAAAATTCTAATCATAATAAATTTTAATCACTATACTTCCCAAGCCTTGCTGATCCTTCTGTACTAAGAATTAATCTCATTTTATCTTTTATAGGCCTTATCTAAAAGCCAAGAATAATTGTCTGAATCCTCTACCTTCTAAATCTGTAAGTAGAAATTAGTCTTTTAAAAAATAATCATTTGGGCGCCTGGGTGGCTCAAATGGTTGGGTGTCTGCCTTCGGCTCGGGTCATGGTCCCGGGGTCCTGGGATCAAGTCCCGCATCGGGCTCCCTGCTCAGCAGGGAGCCTGCTTTTCCCTCTGCTTCTCTCTCTGTCTCTCTCTGTCTCTCATGAATAAATAAATAAAATCTTTAAAAAAAATAAAATAAAAATAATAATCATTTAATGGTTATCAACTTTCAATGTAATCCTGATATAATACTTTTTATCTAATCTGGAATTCACATGCCAATTTTGTCGACT